TTCAAAGTAACTTTTTTTTACCATTTAGTTTATGAGTTGTTTAAGTCAATAAAATTTGATCAAAAACTTTACTTAATCATTCTATATTGAATTGAGTATATTCTCAAACTAATTGTTGTTATTTGCTGAATATAAAAAGCACTGGTTTCTATTAAAACAACTATTACATTAATTTAACAGGTTTGTATTAGGTAAATTATTCTTTCAAAAGTTATAAAAACAATAAAATTAACTGAGATAACAACAAGATTAACTGAGACAATTGTAGAGATAATTATTTAAAAGAATTTTAGAATACAAGACCTTTTTTTCTTTTTTTTTTTTATAGTCATTTTTAGGCTCTGGCCCATAAAAAGGCCGCCAAAAACAAAAATAGCCCCAGGCCCCAAAAAGTCTCAATCCGCCACTGTGATAATGAATTCTAATATCTAAAGTTTTTAGAAAGAATGTTTTATAAACTTTTACAAATACCTTTTAACATTCTTTCTTTTTGAAGTATTGTTTATATATATTATATTTGTGTTTTTTTTACTCATTTGGAAGAAAAAGTTTAGTGAGTGAAAAAAAAAAGACAATTTAATGAAGAAAAAAAAAACACAAAAAATGACTTAGAATGTTCAAGCAACCATTTAAACTATACAAACACAAAAATATTATCAAATCTTTGCAAACGAATATTTATATATTTACTTTTTACTGTTAGGAGAAATCCGCCTCATAGCCTGCAGTTTCTTCCTTCGTTTGGAAAATGATATCAAATAAAATAGACACTAATACTATTGCACAGTGGGCCAGAAATCATTTTTACTGAACAAAACTTATAACTTGTTTTATAAAAAAGATTTAAAAAATGTTTTTGCACTGTTTACTAACTTGAGGATTGCGGTTTTAAAAGTGGTACTAGTTTTAATTTTGGGTAGCTATGGATACCTAAATTCTTTAGCAACTACATATTTTATTAACTTTAACAAATAAAAACTGAAAAAATAAAACTGGAAAAAGTAATAACTTTATTGGATTACTCCCATGATTACCACATTGACTATTTTTGTACTACAAATGTAGTGGTACTATGGATTTTTTATTTGGTTGATAATGACACCTGGCAACGATTCATTTTGCATAGTTATTAGCTTAAGTAACTTTTCCAAAAGTATCAATGTTATAAACTAATGTGGCAGTCTGATTAAAAATTGTTTTATGCATTTAAAAATTTTAACACATTTCCAATTATATTTTTATAAGTATTTTTATACAGTTCCAGCGCTCTATTTTATACTTCATGAAACTACTACATAATCTATTTAAAAAAGTACCTAAAGCTTAAATCTTTTTGTGTACATGATAATATAAAAATTTTGATTTAAAATTATTTTTCGAACTAAAACTCATATTTTTTGATAATTTTAAAACAGCTTTAGCTTCTTTTTCTTAACCATTTTGGCGCAAACTACAACCTGATGCTATTTTTGTAAACCTTGTCATGAAAACTCAACATGTAGAAATGTAATTTAATGCTTCTGATTACTTATCTTTTATCAGGTTTTTTCTAATTCTGATTTGCGCAAGTTATCTACGCTTATGCTATCTCAAGAGTTATATTAACCATAGTTAAAAAAAATGATTGGGTTGCAACCAGTCACAAATGTACCTTTTCCAAATACTATTTTTTCTTTATAAGTTAACAGATTTTATTAATAGTAGTAAAAAAATAGGTTGTGTAGTTTTACATTGAAAAAAAAAAAAAATTTGATACTTAGTTTAATTTGCCTGGCATAAAGATTCTCTATTTTCCAATATGGTTGAGCGTTTTAAATGTCTTAATTTAACTGTCGTTCAAAGGCAAATAAACCGTCATTTTAAGGGTATTGCTTTATGATATGACAGTTTTAGTTTTGAAAAAATGCCGTTTTTGATATTGCAATTAATTAGAGATGACGTTCTAGTGCTCATGGTATATGCTCATGGTATTTCAGTTCATGTTATATGCTGGCAAGCTTGACAAAAAATATGGATATTCTTTCAAGAATGGCAAATCATCAGTAAATGGTGGCAACTACTTAACAACTAGCATAACAAAAAAGTAGCTTTTTGACAACCAGAATTAGCAGCAGCAGTCCGTCATTAGTGCATGAATTCGATAAAGATAGCGAATTATTTTACCACACATAAAGATATCATCAAGAGCTGTTATCATGTATAATATGGAACATGGATGAGACTGGACTGCAGCTACACTGTAAAAAAACTAACGCCAAAATAACAATAAAACTATATAGCAATAGTTGAGCAAATATAACGGTTGTTATCCGTTATTTTAGCGTTATTATGGCGTTTTATTGCCGTTATATTGGCGTTATTTTGGCGTTAGTTTTATCCGTTATATTTGCTCAACTCTGGCGTTATATTGGCGTTATATTGAAGAGAAGATGAACTAACGGCAAATGCGTTATATTTGGCGTTATATTTATTATACAGATCCTATTTTTAGGAGCACAACATTAAAAAACAAAAATAAAAACGTTTTAGGAAAATAATCATGATTATTATCTTAACGTTTTATTTTTTTATTGTTTAAAATTTAAAAATATTTATATATTTGGTTGATTAACGTTGTATAAATAAAATTTAGACATTGTTGTAATTATTTTTTAGTTTATTATAATAATTTTATTTCATATTATATGTCCTCAACCTATACATAATTTAACTAAACATATTCAGTTAAAATATTTATAAAATGCATAACTGCATAATAAGTATGCACTTTATAAATATTTTAACTGAATATGTTTAGCTAAATTATGTATAGGTTGAGGACATATAATATGAAATAAAATTATTATAATAAACTAAAAAATAATTACAGCAATGTCTAAAATTTATTTATACAACGTTAATCAACAAAGTTGCACAAAATATAATCACTTTTGAGAGATATAATCTAAAACCTTACAATTGGGTACAATATGTTGACACCATTAAAGATTACAAAACAAAACAAGATAACTAAATTAAATCATGAGTGGTTTATAATATGTAATCATTTAATTAAGCAGCTATAAATATTTTAAAAATTATAAAAATAACCTAACCATTGCTACCTGATTATGATGCCACTAAAGAACACAAAAGTAAAGATATATATTGAATGAACTTAAAAATATATCTTCTTATACATAAATGTATGTCATTTATAATAATTTTAAAAAGATCAGTGATCAGTGAACCAGTGAGATTATCATTGGAAAAAAAGTTGTCATCACTTAAGAACACGTCTTGAAAAAGGGCATAATATAAAATCATTTAATTGGTTTTTTAAAAACTATTTTGGAAAGATACAACTTTATAACCATTGCTACTTGATGTTGATGCCACTAATAAATACAAAAAACAAACAAACAATCCTCTTTAAAATTTATGGAATATATACTTGTAGTGAAAAGATACATGTAACTTTACCATTGGTACCAGATGTTGATGATACAAAAGTCTGTATAATAAAAAATGCCATTAAAATGAATATAAAATAAAAAGTTTAATAAGAAAAGGACACCTTAATAATTTATGGAATATAAACTTGTATTAAAACATACATGTAAATTTACCACTGGTACTAAATGCTGTTGGCACTAAAGAGTACAATGTAAAATAAGTAATGACTAAAAAAGACATCTTCTCATACTAAGTCATTTATATAATTTTATTTATGATTTTCGTATATCATTTTTAAGTCATATCAGACATTTTGAAAAGATTTAACCTTACCATTGCTTCCAGATGTTATTAAAGACTAAAAAATAGAAAAGATAACAAGCACAAAAACATCTTTAAAATGTATCTCATTTATAATGATTTAAAAAAGATATAATCAGTAGGATTATCATTGGAAAAAAAAGAGCATAATATAAAATCACGAATAACATATATAACAAATTACAGAAGCTTTATTTCCATGAATTCGTAAGTGATTCTTCATTAAACAATTCCTAAAAGTTGTAAAAGTACAGCAATTACATTTGTATGAAAATACCTTTTGTTTTGAGTTTAAATTGTCTGTTGACTGATTGGTATATGAAGATAAATTTGCTGTTGCACTTGGTTGAGTTTGAGTATTGGTAACATCAATTGGGGTTATAAAACTGGTTTGAACTGATTGAGTTGATGGAAAAGGAACAGGAAATGAATCATTGAGGCGTCTTTGTTTGCAACTATTAATATCTTCAGCAAAAATATTGTTGTTTTGCAATTCATTAAGAAAACTGAATGACGTGGAGCATGATGATTGAGGATCAGAACAAGAAACAGAAGATTGAGGTGGAGATTGGTTGTTGAAGATATCTGCTTCCTGGATGTCAACCAAAAATTCCAGTGATTGTTCATTCAATAATGCAGTAAAATTTGTTTTAGTAACTGGGCATCCAAGCCATTTCAAACCGATAATTTCACTGAATATCTTGTATATGTGATATCTTGTTATAAGATATGATATATAAGATATATATATATATATATATATATATATATATATATATATATATATATATATATATATATATATATATATATATATATATATATATATATATATATATAGGTATATGATATATGATATATATGATATATATATATATCATGATATATGATATAACAATGCATGTCTATACTATTTAAATGTAATATTTTGATTGATATTGTTAACTAGTTACTGGCAGTAAATGGTTATTGATATCAATCAAAATAGTATCATGATAAATGATATAACAATACAAATACTTACTTTGTTGAACAAATGTTATCACTAAAGCATTATTTTTCAGCGTTTGGAACAAGAAGGGACTAAGAACGAAAAAATATAACGCATAATATAACGGATAAATATAACGGATGAAAATAACGGATGAATATAACGGATAGACTTCACCATTTGTAAGGAATTGATCAAGCATACACAAATTATGACGCACACAAAAAAATATAACGCCAATATAACGGATAGTGCTCACTTTTCTCAAGTTCATCCGTTATATTGGCGTTAGTTTTTATGCAGTGTAGACTTTAAGGCGCACAAAATTGTTGCTGCAAAATGAACTAAATGAATACAAATGAAAACTAGTGGAAATTTGGAAATGATTAATTTGATTTTTTTTGTGAATGCAGCAGGAAGAGCATTACAACCACACGTTCAAAGTTAAACCTATTCAAAGTTTTCAATTTCTAGATACTTCTGAAGGAACCAATCGAACTCCAAGTGAATCTAGATGAATTAAATAAAGGATTGCAAAACTATGGTTTAAGCTTACGTTTTTAAAAAAATATTGGACCACAACGTATAAATGTTTTACTTTTGGGTGGCCTCGATTTCCGCACTTTTTTAGAATTAAAAGATATGGTCATTTAAAACCAAATTGAAATTCATAAAATACTTCCTCATTCGAGCAATTGGCTTCAACCTTGTGTTCAAACTGTATTTAAGTTATTGAAAATTTATTACAATAAAGCAGCCCATGATATGATGTTTAACCAACCGGGTTACGATAAACAAGACCAATTTTGCAAGACTTTTAACCAAAGCCTGGCACAAAAGTATAACAAAAGCTAATATTAGATCTGGCCTCAAATTTTGTAGAATCTTTCCATATATTCTTTCAATTATTCTACCTGAAGCATACTTTTCAAACTCTGTGTATTCTGAGGACAGGTTAGTGACAATCCAGATCTCTTTGATTTAATTAAAGCAATTGATAGTACAACAATAGTTTTTCAGATTAATCAGACAATAGACAACACAAAAATACTTCTACCAGGTTTTAAATTGGGAGAATGTAAGATTATTCTAACAGCTTTTATTGTAATTACCAACTCAAGATCTTGTCAATCAATAACCAATACCGTAGTAGAAATTCCAGAACGTAGCAGTGATGGTTTATTGGAACCAAGTATGATGAAAATTCTCATTGACTGCAATGCTTTCAATTCTTCCGACTAAAAGGTTTTTTATTAAACAAAAATTTAATGTTTCTCACATAATTAAAACTAAGAGCTACCAGTAATGAAATTACAGTAAGTTTCAAGACAACTTTACAATTACGTCTGACATTAAAGTTGGACGGCCGATTGACAAGCATGTAATTGAATTAACAATTTCAATACCATTATCTTCTGGTTTTGTAAAAACTATTTTTTTTTTGCCCTAAATTTCTCTTTAGAAAATCATCCAGGAGATGGAGATGATGATGTATTACCGAAGGAAATTTGGCAAAGTGCAAAAAAGCTAAAAAAAACAGAAAAGTTTTTTTGCGCTAACTTCTAAGAAAACGTATGAGTCATAATAAAGAAGAAAAAGCAAAAAACGAAAATGAAAAAAAAAAATGTAATTTAAAAAGACTAAAAAAATTAAAAATAAAGCCACCAAACGCATTATCTAAGGATAATCCTAGAATTAAACAATTAAACTTAAGGATAATCCTAGAATTAAACAATTAAACTTAAGGATAATCCTAGAACTAAACAATTAAACTTAAGGATAATCCTAGAATTAAACAATTAAACTTAAGGATAATCATAGAATTAAACAATTAAACTTAAGGATAATCATAGAATTAAACAATTAAACTTAAGAATAATCCTAGAATTAAACAATTAAACTTAAGGATAATCCTAGAATTAAACAATTAAACTTAAGGATAATCCTAGAACTAAACAATTAAACTTAAGGATAATCCTAGAATTAAACAATTAAACTTAAGGATAATCATAGAATTAAACAATTAAACTTAAGGATAATCATAGAATTAAACAATTAAACTTAAGAATAATCCTAGAATTAAACAATTAAACTTAAGGATAATCCTAGAATTACTGATTACTATGAAAATAAGGATAATCCTAAAAAATGAGCCAATAAAATTAGAAAAAAGCGATATCTAACTTGATTATATTGTTATAAATGGTTTTAATTAATTTTTGTATTAATTAAAATATTTTTGTTCAGAGTGTTTTTCAAAAGTCTTTTATTATAAAAGACTTTTGAAATAATAGAGTTCACTGAATTATAATAATTTTTTTTTGTTAATTTAAATATTTTATTATAAGTAACTTTTAAAGCAGCAAACAAAGAAATGTATGACTTTCATATACAACTTTTTGTTAACATGTTTTCAAAAACAAATTTTCAAAGATGTGGCTGGAATTTGGTCACTTCAACATATGGATTATTGAGTAGACTCAATACCGATATTTTGGTACCGGTATTTCGGTATCTGTACTACCAGTGGATGTACTAATTAAACCTCAACATTTGGTAAATAGATCAGGTCCAATTAACTAAACAAAACTTTATTGTTTACAAAATATCGAAGTGGTTAAAATAAAAATTTAACGATAAATTTTGAGCTGGTAGAAGTGAATTTTTCTCCAAATTTGTTTTAATACAAGTTTATATTCCATAAAGTTGAAAACAAATGTTAAATTTTTAAATATAAAACTTTACATAATTTAACTTTTTTTTTGTTGTCATTAACAAATATTATTTATTTGTAATTTCTATGTTATATAATAACATATAAATATCATTTATATGTTAATTATTTATATATTATTTAAAATGATTTAACTTTTATTTGTAATTTCTATCTTTTGAATAATCTGGAATGAGAGTAAAACTTTTAAATAACAAATTCTTTAGTCATTGCTCATCTTTGGTTAAAACAAAGTTTATTTAAATAAAGGCAAGTTTAGTTGTATTCTATTTAATAAATTTCAAGTTGTTATTACTTTGTAAAAAATAAAGTTCTAAAACATTTAGGTAATAAAAACTAACTATTTCAAGTCTAAGCTAACCTGTGTTCAAGTCTATGCTAATTTTATACTAGAATAATATGAAGGAATTAAGAAAAAAACTGATAGTGAAAGTAATTAATGGACGTAGGTTACAGAATAAGGAAACATTCTAAACAAGTGACCCTTACTGTTTAGTTGAAGTTGGTTCAAAAGCAAAAGACGAAATAACTTAAATCCAGATTGGGGTGATGAATTCGAGTTTGACTTAACTGAAGACGAAGTAAAAGTACATTTTATATGTGTATGGGACAAAACACAATAAAGAAAGATGTATTCATGGGTTACAATTTTGTTACATTTGATGATTGCAAGTCAATGGTAGAGGCTGTTAAGGTATTTTACTTAAGTTTCTTTGGTTTTTTATTTAACTGATATTAAGTTTAAATATATATATATATATATTTTTTTTTTTTTTTTTACAACACAAGTATCCGTATATATTTCAATAAAACAAAACACAAGTATCCGTATATATATCAATAAAACAAAATTACATATTTTTACATATAAGTACAAAACGTACAATTAAACAATTTTTGTACCATTAAAATTTTTACAAGACAAAAGAAATTCAAAATTCTGTTTAGCGCATGCGCGTTGTACAGTGTACAAAATAAGGTAACTATTCGTTGTTTATAATATAAAGTGCTGGCTATTAATCCATGCATTTAAAAAATATATGCAAGTCCGTCGTACCACAGGGCTACTAGGGACTTGCTTGTAGACGTTGTTGAATATATATATATAAAATTATTCTTAAAAAATATTTTTCTTTGTTGTAAGGAAACTCGCAGAAGACTAAAATAGTTTTTATCTATTTTTCCCAAATTGTTTAATACATTTCGATGAAGTTGGTTAAGTTAATTATGATATGTTTTAGTTTTTTTTTCAGAGCAATAAGGTTATCCATTTTATTAAGTTCCATATTTTGAAGTATTATTTTGTTATGTAAGTATGGGCCACGGTATATTAAAGAAAATCGCGAGAATTTTGTTTTTTTTAAAGGCAGGGTGAAGTTGCCTGTTCCTCGTGTGATATATTTGTTTACGTTGATATGAAAAAAGCTATCAGTAAAGTATTTCAGAACAAGTCCGAGTTTGTATTTTAGCATGAATAAGATATTTTGGTAAATATTTATTTGATAGATATTTAATTCATTCAAATTTTTAAGTAAAGTGTCGGCATGAGTGAATTTATCTTTATTATAAATTAATCTTGATGCATATTTCTGATGTATGTAGAGTGAATTTAATTTAGTTTTATGGGTACTTCCCCATGCAATATTAGCGTATGTTAGGTAACTTTGAATATAAGAAAAGAAGAGAATTTTTAAGTTGTCTTGAGAAAGCATAGGTTTGGCTTTGTAGAGTACGCCGATACTTTTTGATATTTTTGTGTTTATTGTATTAATATGGGCTTTCCAATTAATATTCTGGTCAATAATTATTCCAAGAAACTTAGTTATTTCAGTTCTTTTGATGTTTATGTTATCAATTTTTAGTGAAGGGAGAGTGTCTGGTATAAAGTTTTTAAGACGTTTGGAGTGAAACAAGATATATTTTGTTTTTTCTGTATTCAAAGATAATTTATTAACTTTAAACCAGATGTTGAGGTTTTCGAGGTCAGTGTTCATAGATTCGTAAAGGTCGCTTATAGACGGCGATGAGTAAAATAAATTTGTATCATCAGCGAACATTATTACATCAAGTTTTTTTAGGGCTTTTGGAAGATCGTTGATATATATTAGAAATAAAAGGGGACCCAGAATGGAACCTTGGGGAACTCCGCATTTTATTTCTAGTAGGTCTGAATATTTATTATGATCTGTAACAAAGCATTGTTTTCTGCTACTCAGGTAACTTTTGAACCAGTCAAGGGATATATTTTTAACACCATATCTTTCCATTTTTTTAAGTAAGATATTGTGATTAACTGTGTCGAACGCTTTAGATAAATCTATAAAAGTCCCTAACACAAATTGCTTTTTATCGAAAGAATTACTCATGCTATTTACAAGATCTAAAATGGCATGTTCGGTTGAGTGTTTTGTTTGAAACCCGAATTGTTTTTTGTTTAAGAGGTTATTTTGAAGGAGATATTCGTATAATCTATTGTAAACTATTCTTTCAAGTATTTTAGAGAAAGTAGGCAGCATAGAGATCGGTCTGTAGTTATTTAATAAAGATGTTTCGCCTGTTTTAAAAATTAGTATAATTTTAGCTGTTTTCGATTTATCTGGTACAGTACCTGTTTTAATTGATGATTTAAATATTTCGAAGATTGGTTTGCGTATCTCCAAAAAGACATCGATAACGATATTGCTACAAATATCATCTATACCTGGAGATTTATTTATTTTAAGAGATTTTATCGCAACTTCAAGTTCTTCAATTTTTAGTTCGCTAAATGCTAATTCGTCATTGTTATTAGTTAAGTATGTCTCAAATGAGTTGTTTGGACAATTAATTTTTGTAGCCAGGTTAGGGCCTATGTTAACGAAAAAATTTTTAAACTTTTCTAAGATTACGTCACTATTGACAAACTCTTCATTATTTATAACAACTTTAGTAGGTAAACTATTTGGTTTGCAATTTTTATTCCCAATTATTTCTTTAATTACGTCCCACGTTTTTTTAATATCACCTTTGGAGTTTTTTATTTTATTTGAGTAATAATTCTTTTTTGAAATCTTTTTGATTTTTTCAAACAAATTTTTATATTATTTGTAAGCATTTAGGTTTGCTTCATTTCTATTTTTTAAGAATTTGATATAAAGTTTTTTTTTTTTTTTTTGAAGATTTTTTAATTCCTTTGGTGATCCACGGACATTTTAGATGTTTTTCTTTTACTAGCATTACTTTTATTGGGAAATATTTATTATAGTTTTTTAAGAAAATGTTTTCAAAATTAGTGTAAGCAGAGTTGGTGCGTCCAAGGTTACATTCTTGGTATACTTTATCCCAGTTTATTGCCGATAGTGATTCTTTAAATTGTTGAATAGCATATTTGTTAATTTTCCTTTTATGAACTTCAATTTTAGAGTCGTTAGTAGTTTTTGTATTGTGTGACAGAGAAAAGAAAATCGGAAAATGATCCGAAATATCTGTTTTTATAATACCTGCTTTTAAAGTAACATCAAGAACTGTATTTGTTAATATATTGTCTATTGACGTAACTGATGATTGAGTTACCCGAGTCGGCTTAATAATAATTGGGAAGATGTAATGTTGGAGCATTTCGTCAAAAAAAATTTAGTTTTGACATGTTTGTCGTATTGTAAGCAATCAATGTTAATGTCTCCAATACAAAATAGTTTTTTTTTGTTCATTGTTATTTTTATAAAAAATTTGTTTTAAATGATTAGAAAATTTTGTTATATCACCATCAGGTGGTCTATAACATGTGGAGACTAATATGTTTTTTGATTTGTTATTTGTTGTTATCTCAATTGTTAAGACCTCACTATCGGCATCTGAGGTAGAAAGGTCATGTCTATATTTGGTGGCTTGATCAGTTCGAATATAGTTAATAATTCCCCCTCCCCTTTTGTTAGTTATTCTTTCAGAAGATATTAAATTGTAATTGAATATATTGTATAAGTAATCATTAATTATCAGAGCCGATGACACGGGTTTCGAAGTGGAGGGGTACAATCGTCAATTTCTAAAAAAGTTTATATCTAGAAATTTCCAAAAAAAAAAAAGTCTTTGATATTCCCATAAAAAGTACCCTCGATAAAATGAGGTTTTTTACAAAGCGCATACTTATATTTTATTATATATTTACAACACGTTTATTCATATTTATATTTTGCAATGCTTAATGTTTTATACGTGCTAGTGTAATAAACTTTATTTTTGTTTAGACAGTCAATATTATTGGTGGTTTAACAGGCCAAATTACTGTATCTCTTAAACCAGAGTTTGAAACAAGTGCATCAAAAATTGAACGGCTTTATAAACAGATCATCGAGATAAAAATCAAACATGTTCAAATTGACAGTAAAAATTTAAATAAAGATCTCAAAGATCTTCATGAAAAACTTTCATCTGAAAATGCTGAGTTAATAAACCAAAACAAAGAAAAATGCAAAGAACTTGAAAAGGTAGTGTAGCAAATGATTTAGGTTTATATTTTATAATAAGTCAATTAATAACTATTTTATTATTCAGAAAAGTTCCAAGTCTAAAAAACAACCGTTTTAAAAAAAAATTAGATTATTTTAAATTAAAAAAATTAAAATTATGAAATATAATTTTTTGAAATTTTTCTAGTAGTATTATTAGAATATTTAATTTTCCATCGCGCCAAAGTAGTAAAAGACCCAGGGCTGCCCCGAGAAGATTTTAAAGGGAGGGGGGGTGAGGTTTCTCTTTTTTGCCAACTAAAGCCAAAAAAAAAATTTTTTGCCCACTAACTTCTCTTAAAAAAAAAAAGTCCTCGTTTTCCGACATTTGCCAACTGCCAACAATAAGCGTAGAGGGCTAGTCATCCCCCTACGCTCCCCCCTTGGAACGGCTTTGAAAAGACCCATTTATGCTTCTTTGTACATATTTTTGGTGTTTTACATAGACGGAGAAAAAAGCCTTCATTTTTTAAGGAAACTGTATTTGCCTCTGATTATTAATCTTATTGCAATGTATCTTTTTTTTTTTATTTTTACCCTAACCTTTATTTAGACTATCGTACAATCAAATGAATTGGAGAAGTTAACAATCGAATGTCAGACTCTCAGAGAGCAATGCACAAATCAGGCTTCAGAAAATTCTCAGCTTAATACTACAATAGTTGAACTAAACGGACAAATACATAACTTTAGAAATATTTTTGAACAGTTACTTATTGAAAATCAAAAATTAATTAGAATTAGAGACGGTTTTAATAACTTATACATTTAAGGTTATGTCTAAGTTTAAATAACATATACATTATAATTATTAGTTAAAATTAGTAAAAATTAATAAAAAGTTATTAATCCTAAGGGTTGAATTAACGCATCGCGATTTGCGATATCTGTTAAATTATCTGGTCTTCAAAGTTTCAGTTTATGGAAAACCACGAAATTTACGAAATAGGCGAATAAACTTTAATTTGTTAGTGAAAATGTTATAAAAAACAAAACAATAAATTTATGACTACAAAAGTAATAACACTACAGTGTTGTTACTTTTATAACACTCTTTTAAGTTACATTTATAGTTTATTGTTTGATCAAACAACACATAATCAAGATATTATAAATAAAAATGATTTAGTTAAGTAATTCCAAACTTTAATTAAAGTAGTAATGCATCTAAAAAAAGTAAAATGGATATTCAAACAATATTAAAAACCTCAGCAACTTTTACGAATACATATTTTTATAAACAGTTTAGCATTTCTAAACATCTTACCAACGGTTCGGAAAAAACGCGCGTTCACTTTAAAATCAACCAATGAAAACACTGGTAATTTACTTCTTAGGAGAAATATATGTTAACAGGGGAGGGGGGGGAAGGCTAAAAACTTAAATTTTGTTTTATTATTTAATCAATTAAATCATAATAAAAGTAAAGACAAAAAAATATATTTCTAAATATACTTCTTTATAACTAAAATTTATTAAATTGAACACCTCTGTTTTTAGTTTTAAGTAAATGTCAGTACTACTCTCAGGGGCGAAACTGTGGGGAGGGGGGGGGGTTAGCAGACAAAAAGTGTCCTATTTTTAAATTAATTTTAGGTTGCATGGGCGATATGGGGCTCATTTTGAAAATCGTGCGGGGAGGGGGGTTGCTAATGACTACTCTAATGTGCTTAATACAAAGGTAGGTGGGGGTGGGAATTTCAGTCAGGATGTATAAAATGGGAGGAGAAAATAATAAAAAAAAGCGGGAGGATTTACAATGAAAGTTTTATTATTTATCGGTTACCAATATATATTTTTTTTAATTTTAAGGCCAATTTTCACTGAGTTTTTGTTTTGAGATATAGTTTTTTGTTTATAACAAGTGACTTGTTATAAACAAATAACACGATTTTCAAAATGAGCCCCATATCGCCCATGCAACCTAAAATTAGTTTAAAAATAGGACACTTTTTGTCTGCTAACCCCCCCTCCCTCCCCACAGTTTCGCCCCTGAGAGTAGTACTGACATTTACTTAAAACTAAAAACAGAGGTGTTCAATTTAATAAATTTTAGTTATAAAGAAGTATATTTAGAAATATATTTTTTTGTCTTTACTTTTATTATGATTTAATTGATTAAATAATAAAACAAAATTTAAGTTTTTAGCCTTCCCCCCCCCCCCTCCCCTGTTAACATAGATTTCTCCTAAGAAGTAAATTACCAGTGTTTTCATTGGTTGATTTTAAAGTGAACGCGCGTTTTTTCCGAACCGTTAGTAAGATGTTTAGAAATGCTAAACTGTTTATAAAAATATGTATTCGTAAAAGTTGCTGAGGTTTTTAACATTGTTTAAATATCCATTTTACTTTTTTTAGATGCATTACTACTTTAATTAAAGTTTGGAATTACTTAACTAAATCATTTTTATTTATAATATCTTGATTATGTGTTGTTTGATCAAACAATAAACTATACTATAGTTTATTGTTTGATCAAACTATACTATACTATAGTTTATTGTTTGATCAAACAACACATAATCAAGATATTATAAATAAAAATGATTTAGTTAAGTAATTCCAAACTTTAATTAAAGTAGTAATGCATCTAAAAAAAGTAGGGGAGAGCGGGGTTGGTTGTCACGCGGGTTGGTTGTCACAAAGTTTATTACAGGAAATGTAAATAAGATATAGAAATTTCAAATTATACAATGGAAATGTTATATAAAAAAAACATTTTTACAGTAATTTTTATCTTTTCTTAGCGTGCAGAAGAAAAGTTATTCGTTTTTATAGGTTTTTGATATGAAAAAGTAAAATTTCGCCTACTCAGAAATTTTCTTTTACCAAACGAAAATTATTTTATTGTGTTTTGAATGTAGATTTATAAAGTACTTTATTCATTTGAGTAACTTAATCCGTAAAAAAATATCATGAAATTCTCACGCTTTTAGGTAAATGTACAGGTGTCCAGTAACTTACTCAGAAGGGGTTGCTTGTCACAAATTATATGGGGATGGTTGTCACACTTGCCTCGACTCCATGCGCTGCAAATTAAACGCCGCTTGCAGAATATTTAGTGGCTTTGTTTATTTTCCGCATTATTTAATGTTTAAGATATTCTTTAAAAATCTAAAGTCAAAGTGTTATATTTGTTTAACTAAATATCTGTAATCTAAATTATTTTTATTTCAACGTGCATAACTTTAGATTCCGATCCAATGTTTAGTATAATTATAGAAAAAGGATTGCAGAAGTTCAACTGTTTATTGTTTTGTTTACAAACTAAACAACTAGCTGTTGTTTAGTTTGTAAAACTGTCTGTTGTTTTGTTTGTGCATTGTTTATATTTAGTGGGTTTATGTATATATATATATATATACATATATATATATATATATATATATATATATATATATATATATATATATATATATATATATATATATACATATATATATATATATATATATATATATATATATATATATATACATATATATATATATATATATATATATATATATATATATATATATATATATATATATATATATATATATACATATATATATATATATATATATATATATATATATATATATATATATATATATATATATATATATATATATATATATATATATATGTATATATATATATATATGTATATATATATATATATATATATATATATATATATATATATATATTATATATATATATTAATGTTTTGTTTACATTATTTGCAAATATTTTTATTTGCTTAGTAATAAACATGGTACGAAATTTTAAAAGAAAAACTAATAGAGGTTATACTTCTGGAGATGTCATAATGTGTGCTGTTAAAGATGTAAAGATTAATAACATTTCTATTAGATCAGCAGCAAAAAACCATGGCATTAATTACAGAACATTAGCACGTTATTGTAAAAAAATTATTATTACTAACCCATCACATGGTTCTATAGCAGATCTAATTGACAAAATTGAAAACCCCACCTCCCTGAATGTTATAGAATACAAAAGTCGATTGATATTGCCAGAAAAAGTAGAAAAAGAACTGGTCACCTACCTGTTGCGAGCAGCAGATATATATTTTGGTTTAACTCCTACCGAAGTAAAAAAGCTTGCTTTCCAGCTAGCAATTAAAAATAATATGAAGGTTCCCAATTCTTGGGTTGTAAAGGAACAAGCTGGTAAGGATTGGTTTACAGGATTTATAAAGCGCCATTCAAATATTTCCATTAGGCAACCTGAAGCTACTAGTTTAAGTCGAGCGACAAGTTTCAATAAGCAGAATGTTGCATCATTTTTTAGCAATTTGCAGCACTGTATGCAAAAATACTCGTTCTCACCAAATGACATTTGGAACATGGACGAAACTGCTGTAACTACTGTACAGCAACCTAAAAAGGTTATTGCGAAAAAAGGATTAAAACAAGTAGGAGCCATCACGTCAGCTGAAAGAGGAACTCTTGTAACATTAGCATGCACAATAAATGCTATTGGAAATAGTATTCCACCCTTTTTTATTTTTCCTCGTAAAAACTTTAAAGATCATTTCCTAATCAGTGCACCAACAGGAAGTGCAGGAGATGCAAATCCAAGTGGTTGGATGAAAGAAGAAAACTTTGTAAAATATCTAAAACATTTTGTAGGCAATACAAAATGTACTAAAGAAAAGCCTTGTTTATTGTTGCTTGACAATCACGAAACTCATCTTAGTATTGAAGGATTAGATTTGGCAAAAAATAATGGAATAGTAATGCTTACCTTCCCACCACATTGCACACATAAATTGCAGCCCTTGGATAAGGCAGTTTATGGTCCTCTCAAAAACTACATAAATACTGCTATGACATCATGGTTAGTAATGAATCCTGGAAAAACTGTTACAATATATGATATTCCAAAAATAGTAAACATTGCATTTCCAAAGGCTGTATCTCCCCACAATATTTTAAGTGGTTTTTCTGCAACAGGTATTTACCCGTTAAATCCTGATGTGTTTACTGAAATTGATTACTGTCCTAACTATGTAACTGATCGCCCTGACCCACCTTGTTCACAGGCTGATTCAAATAAAAAAGACTGTGAATCTTATTCAATGCAACCAGAACCATCAAATAAAAGATTTAAAGAATCTATTCAGATACCAGGTAATCAGGTAGACATAACAATAGAAGATCCAGTTGTATTAAATAAAACCCCTAATCAGAACCCAATCACAACATTAGGTTTTAACAATTCAATCATACCACCTGAGAGTGTTAGGCCTCTGCCTAAAGCAGGTCCGAGGTTAGCATCAAAAAGAGGTAGGAAAAAGCGGTCAACTATGATTCTTACTAACACGCCTGTCAAAGCATGGCTTGCTAATTATAAAAAGAAGAAAACTAATAAAAAAAAATTTACTAATGGAAGTAAAAAAGAATTAATAAAAGCAAATCTTGCTACGAAAAAACCTTCTATAGTCTTAAATTCATCTGAAGATAAAGAGTATCTGTGCATCTATTGTTTTGAATCATTTTCCAACAGCCGATCAAGAGAACAGTGGATTCAATGTCAGGTTTGCCAAAAATGGGCTCATGAAGAATGCACACCAGGCTTACAACAGTTTATTTGTGAATTGTGTTCTTTATCCAATAATTTTTAAAAAACCAAACCTAAAAACATTTATAGTGATAAACTAAATTTGTTAATTGTGTTATATTTAAAATATATATATTTCAGTTTATAGTATTTTATTTTTGTTTTTCTTAGTAAAACATAAACGAAATTAATTTGTACTCGTTTTACATTAAATTCTTATCTAAACTTGTCAAAATCCAAATGTGACAATCAACCCCGCACCATGTG